GCAAATGGTTTAAACAAAATGAAGGTCTTGCCTTGGGAGCACCAACTTCAGCAATTCTTGCATAGAACTATCATTGATATTTTGACGAAATAAGAAGTAATATATTATTATAGATACGTTGACGATATTTTAATCATCTATAATTCCCATGTAAGTAACATTGTAAATACTTTGTATGAATTCAACAATATCCACCCTAATATCGAATTCACAATGGAAAAATAAATAATAAGATCAGTTTCTTAGATTTATCCATCGAGAAAACACAAAGGCTACAACTAGGAATCTATCGAAAACTTACAACTGCTGACCCTGATCATCCATAATGATTCATGTCACCCATTTGAACACAAAAAAAGCTGCCATAAACTTTCTCATTAAATGATTGAATCAGTATCCCCTTTCGCATAACAACACAAACATAGAAGAGAACATTGTTAGAACTATACTAAATAACTACCCACTAAATATCATACAACTAACACAAAAACCCTCCACAAACAATACTACGCACAAAAGGAAATGGACCACCATTACCTATTTAGGTCATGAAATCAGATCTATTACTAAACTTTTCAAGAATACTGAAGTTGTCATCTTGTCATCATCATCATCATCATCATCATCATCATCATCAGTAATCTGTCAGACGACAGGTCCACAGTCTCTTCCAAAACAGTTCCTCCACTTAATGTGATCTAGAGCTGTCTCATACAAATGAGAATATCCTCTTCTGTCCCCAATGTCATCCAGCATCTTCTTACGTCTTCTTCCTCGTCTTCTGGTCACTTCTATCCGCCCCTCTCTCTTTCCTTCAATAACTTCTTTTAGAAGGCAGTTAGTGCATAAGATATGACACTTCTTCATTTCTCACATAATCGGTGCAACTGATCTTCTCCATCCTTCTCCAACACCACATTTTGAAACTTTCCAGATGTTTCTGATCTACTGCCCTAAGTGTCCAAGTTTCAGCCCCATACAAAGCGATGCTCCAAACGTAGAATTTCACTAGTTTCCTTCTCAAATTTAAGTCCAATTTGCTGATTAAAAGATTCTTCTTCTTGCTACATGCAGCTTTTGCCATGACAATCCTAGATTTAATTTCACATGTGCACCTTCCATCATTTGTTAAGAAGCTACCCAAATATTTAAAACATTTCACATTCTCCAGTTGTTTTTGGTCTATCTTTATTGCGAATGGGGTGGTTATCTCGAAATTTTCATTACTTTTGTTTTTTCCGCATTCATTTCCATGCCATAGCGCCTTCCAATTTCGATTAGTCTATCAATCATACCCTGTAGCACAGTTTCTTCCTTAACCATTAACACACGGTCATTTGCATATTACACAGTTTGAATAATTTGCCCACCTAATTTGACGTCTCCGAGCCCATCCAGAGCTTCCTTGGTAAGGCATTCACTGTACAATTTGAACAAAATTCGTGATAAACAGCATCCTTGTCGAACTCCTCTTCCAATAAATGATACAAACTCCGTCCCAAGTGCAAACAATATATATTATATGTCTTTGATCTTGTTCTCTTCTACACTACATGTTTCGGCCTCTATCGGCCATCATCAGGTGTATACTCTTAACGTTGCTGCCACACTGAACCCAGTCTAAAATTTAACATTTAAAAACACATTGTATTTTCTTTCCTCGTATTATCAACATCTACCTCGTTGATTATATTGCACACATCAAATTTAATTTTCCTATAGTAGCACTATAAAATCTTTAGTTATGATTTTAAAATCCTTGAAAATTTTCTCTAAATTTAAAATTTAAAATTTAAAATTGTTAGGGTTACTCGCCCTATGTCTAAAGTGCTGGAGCGGGTAGTTCTTGTTTCCACACTGTACAGGTGTTATTCTGTGTGGTCTTCCTGTGTGCATGCCGCTGCTTGTCTTTACTACATGTGCTCCAATCTTCACACTTTTTGTCTCCCCTCTGTCCAGTCGCACTCTAACTTTCTGATCCATGTACAATTTACTAATCAATCTTCTTTCACGCCAATCGATACCTGTTTCCTTTAGGATCTGCATTAATTTG